CATTTCGACTGGACAACACAAGCTTTTAAAGGGCTTAAAAGAGAAATTATCAAAGAATTTCTTTCAGACAAAATAAATAACTCGAAGGTTCAATGCTAATGAGTCTCTCCTAGCATATTACAAAAGGCTTACTTAGGCATTGATGAGTTACCATAAATGATCTAATGACTAACTGATCATGACACCCCCTTTCAAACAAACGCCTCCTGGCTCATGCCATTTAATAAGCGCCGCTCTATAATATTATGTTTGCATCAGACGCTCTCGCTTATAAACATCCTTTGTCTAGTAGACGCCCCCATGAAAACTATTTCAAAAATTGCTATAGAAATTAGCAAAAAAGATCCAAATCATTCAAATTATTCAGTTGCCTGCTTGATTAACAAGACTTTGAGCATTGCATCTTGTTCAGTGTTTCAAAGTTCCTTTTAAAAGTATGAATTGATTAGAGATGACGACACAATGATCCTGAATTAGGATTCTGACATAGAAGTTGAGATTTGAAAGAGCGCGGATAAGGATCTTTAGGCGGCCTAGCTGGGCGGTAGCAATTGATAGACAGAATATTCTGCTATTCATAAGCTCTCTTTGCATTTTCGCCGAAAGCACATTAGTTTAGAAAATTAGGTTGTTACATTAATAACAAAAAACTTCTTTCCATATGGCTCCTGTCATTAAACGCTCCCTGTTGTAATCCTAAAATTACTAAACGCCCTAGGCGTCTATGAGATCATTTACGGTATTAAAGCAGGTGAGTTTTCTGGTCATTATATATAAAAAGTGCCACAAGATTATCGAAAAAGACAACTGTAGCCAACAAGTACTGAAGTTTGTAACAATTAAAACTGAGCAGTCAAAGGACTAACAAGCCCTGGTCAGAAGAACGTGCCAAATTCTCTTTGCCGACAGCACACTTTTGGTTTTCCCATTAATAGGTTGATCGAGAAGTAAATGTTATAAAAACTTCTCATGTTTTATGCACACGGGATAATATGCACTTATTTTTTCCTCATATTCACCTGTTAAGCGTGGGCTTAATGGCCTGAAGGCAGCTTCCCCTATGCTTCCTGTGGTTAACTGTCAAACTTGTGTAGTTGATGATGGTACTACCAAAGATATAATTTTTTAATGTGTTAAAACACGCTTGTTTAATCATCTTCTCAATCGATTTCTTAATACAACCACATAACCTAAATGAAGTGTTCTGGATGGTTTATAACATTTTATACCCCACTGTTTCAATTCTGTCAAAAGGTCGGTTAGCGGATAATGCCGGAACATTATAAACAAACTCACTTATTGAAGGCCTCAGAGGACAGCTGTGCTGTTGCTTCGCAGGGGGCTTGCAATTGTCAATAAAAGTTCTGCCACTCAAACGGCATATGCAATATACAGAGCAGTAATTCAAAGTTACTTGACTGCATGTGTACGACTCTGTAGATACGTCGCAAAACTCAGCATGAACTCAACGGCGAACGGATCCAGCGGATCTTGGAACTGCTTTTCTCAGTTAAATTCTACTGCGTGGAAAATCGGAGGAACCGTTACCTTCTGTCTGTTCATTATAGTTTCACTTGCCGCAAATTCTCTCATTGTAATGATCGTTTATAAAACGCCGAACTTAAGAAAACCGATAAATTATTTCATCGCAAACATGGCCTCATCTGATTTGCTTTTTCCATTCTTCTTTATACCTTGGAACCTGTCAAGGTTGCACACCACCTCGCTTCTTACCGGTGGTCCGCTTGGCCAGGCCTTTTGTAAGCTTGTTGCCTTCTTTGGAGAAGTTTCCATTGCTGTTTCGATTCAGAATCTGATTCTTATAGCAGTGGATCGCTTTGGAGCCGTGGTATTTCCACTCCGTTCCCCACTCATCAGATCCAAGCTGTGTCCCTTCTTCATTCTTGCCACGTGGATAGTTGCCGTAGCTGTTAATTCGCCATACTTGTTCGCCATCGAGGTCGTTGAATACCCAGAGGGAACCTGGTGTGTTGCGAAATGGAAGAAAGTATTCGGAGAGTCATCATCCCATGCCAGTTTCGTACTAGCTTACCACATTCTGTTTATATACATCCCTGTTATGTTGTTAGTCATTCTTTATTCCATCATCTTTATCAAGCTCAAGACACAGGTACACCCAGGTGAACAGTCGACCAACAATCAGCGACAGCAGAAAAGAAGAAACAGAAACGTTCTTCAAATGTCCATTGCTATCGTAACAGTGTTTGTGCTTTGCTGGTTACTAGGCTCTATCAACTCTTTAATCTTCCGTTATCACTACAGTTCCACGCATTTCTCGTGTAGTTTTTGGCTATACGCCTCTGTCACCAAGTACATGACGGCTAACGCGTACTGTGCTATCAACCCAGTTATCTGTTTTATTTTTAGCAGTAATTACCGAAAAGCTCTCGGTGCAGACTATTTACTCCAGAACCCTTTAAAAAGGGTTCTGGAGTAAATAGTCTGCACCGTTCTATATGAAAGGAAATTGAAAAAGGGTTCTGGAGTAAATAGTCTGTACAGTTCTATATGAAAGGAAATTGACCCGATCTGTCCGTAAAAGCAAAAGTCTGCTCAATTATATAACTGGTTAAAAGCTTAAAAGCTTTTAAATGGAAGCTTAAAATGGAAGCTTAAAATGGAAGCTTAAAAGCTTCCATATTTTAATGAAGTGATTATTTGGTAAGCGGCAAATTCAGGAAGGATAGATCTTTCCACAGAAGGCAATACGTGCCAGACAACAGACGTTAGAATAGTAGATGTCAATCTAGCCTGCGTAGCTAGCAAGCGTTTCCGTTTAGTTTCGGAGCAAAGAAGACCGAGGAAGGGGATTTTTGGTTTTGACCGTGCGAGAAATGAAACGAGAGCTAAAAATTGAAAGAGGGGGAGGGGGAGGGGAGGTTTCCTTCCTTTCCTCCCCACCCCCTCCCCGCTCTTTTACTTGCGCCATTTTTCGCGCGGCAGTTGACTCTCGTTCCTCGTTCTTTGCTCATAGACCGCACAGAAACGCTTGCTACGCAGGCTGATCTCAATTTAACATATACACTTAAGAAAAACTAGGAGATATTCCGTACCATCATTATAATTTTTTTAAATCGTTGTTTCATTTGATTAAATTCGATCGACGACAAGGAAAAACTAACACACTAGCTAAAAACGCCATAAATAAGGAGGATAGATAAGTAATTTCCTCGAAATTCAGATCACGACGAAAGGTATTTTCAGATCGATTCCCGAGAAAGCGTAAAGTATTCACATAAAAAAAAGGTATCCAGAATATTGAATACAGGAAGTCAGATAAGGCCATGTTTGCGATGAAATAATTTATCGTTCTTTTTTAAGTTGTTCATTACAACGAATTCATGAAAGGAGAAGACTTCTTTTGATCACTATTTTACACGTTGAAAATGCAGTGTAAATTTAAACAATTAATAACTGAATCTTTGTGATATCTAACATTGAATAGTGATAAAATATCCCTTAGTTTATTTATCAGGCCGCGACCACTTAAGGTACATAGAGTTTATTAAGGCGCGCACGAGCCAAAGGTCCAAACGGCCGGAGCTTATTCCGGTTTCCTCAGCATGGAGCATGTTTAGAAGTATTGCTTCTCCCCTCTGGACGGGATGCTAGTCCATCTTTGGGTTACCCCCCAGCTGTATGTCGCCGGTACCCATTTATACACCTGGATGAACAGAGAAAAAATGAATAGTGAAGTTCCTTGTCTAAGAAAACAACGCGACGGGCGAGGCTTGAACCCCTGTGTTCGAGGAGTCTGAACCACTCGGCCACACACGTCTCCACTGAAGAGTATCAAGCAAATGTTTAAACATAAAGGAGAACCGAATAAGGCTATATCAATCAAGTCTAAAACGTCTGCTGCTTGCATTTTCAGTGCTTAACGGTACATATCAGGATTGTTCGTTTTTATGATTAATAAGTTATTATTATAATAAACTGAACATATTATTTTTATTAATCCTCAGTTAAGTACGCCCAAGTGTTCCACTTACCTCTAAATCTTAACATATTCAATCAAAAGAACATTTTTGCGACTTACGACTGTACAAAAGAACATGTACATTTCATGAGTCTTCTAAGACCTATTCGATAATTACTACTAAAAATACACTGATAGTCATGATACATTTATTCGCGCGTGTTTCACGGACCTCTAACTCTTAACATCTTCAAGCAAAAGCACATTTTTGCGACCTATGCCTGTACAAAAGAACATTTGTCTTAAAAGACATTTTTCATTTTTTATCGGTGTATTTTACCGTCAGGAGAGGAGATTTGTTGAATTTTCCTAAATTTTACCGCGTTAGCTCAGTTTGCTTGGCGTGCACCCACGGGGAAATGGTAGTGGCTAACTGACCAATCAGAGCGCGAGATTTACTTTTGTTATGTTATAATAAGCCTTATCATATGGCTGAGTCTGTTTTCGCCATGCGATTGGTCAATTTGCGGTCCGTAACTTGTTATACGGACCAAAATTTCAAAGAAAAAGCTCATTTCGGAGCTCTAAATCTCTTTACCTCGGAAAAAAGGTTAAAATTAGGTTACAAGACGTCTATCAACCTTGAGGACCTAGATTTTGACTTCGTCCTTCAATATTTTAAACTGTGTTTATTTGTGAACGAAGGCGATGAAGAAACTAACTCGTAATCTTATCGAAGACGATTCTAGTCAGTGTTTGAAAATTTTATCGTAGTACAGTCGATTAAGAAGACGAAAATCGACTGGCAGAGATTCGAGATGTTTTGCCTCAGAGAAAATGAGTAATTCCTTCGACAAATATGATAACAAACATACCTGCGCCCGATCATCTTGACGAGCTTCTTTGTCATTTGCAGTGTTTTTCCAAAGACCAGCGAAAGAAAGATAGAAGAGACTCCGAGCCAGACAAAAAGTGTCCAGTTTTCAAAAGACTCCAGCGTCACATTGGCGAGTGAATACTTACAGTGCTCTTAGTTTTGACCGAATATACTTAAAAATATGTCTGTAAACCCTAGGGACTGGGATGTTGACTTTGCCTTTCCAGATTTTAACCTAGCTTTGTTTGAATGAGAACGAAGCTGATGTAGAAACTGAATCGTAACCTTTCCGTGGAAGAAAATATGGTCCGTGTTTGAAGCGCGGGGGCCATAAATCCATGGGAAAAAACGAGGATCCGTAATTTACAGTACGGACCGAAAACTCGGCTAATCAGAGGTATTTATTTATCCATGTTTAAAAGTAACATATATACATATATACATATATGCAATGGCTTTACAAAATTAAAGGGGAAAAACATATACTACGAAATACTATTAAGGGAATTTCTAATAAAGGTCAGTAGAAAGAGTCTTGTAGATCTGGCTAAAAGGAGTTAGTATGTCTTTGCCTTCCTGACTGAGGTATCAGGGGCGGATCTAGGGGGAGGGTGCAGGGGGTGCGCACCCCCCCCCTCCCCCCGAGATGACCTGCGGTTTTCTAATACAACTGGTATTCTGCAAAAAAAATCTATGTGGTTTATTGGTGTTGAAGTAGAGCAAGAGACGAGTGCACCCCCTCCTAAAAAAAAAACCTGGATCCGCCCCTGGGTATCGCTACTGAACCTGGTGTAGATCTTAAGTTATATCATGTCCGTGGCTGGTATTTGCTGGCTTTGTGAGAAAAATTTGATTTGGCTGGTTAATATCATTCACAATTCTTTTTAATTCACGCTTTGTCCCTCCTTTGCATCTGTCCTCTAACGTTGGAAGGGATGTTCTTGGTATCCCGATGATATCTCAGCACGCTGACCCCTATCGATGTTAAGTTCCCGTCTTCATTTGTCTGTTCATCGGCATATTTAGAATATAAAGGGATGTTTAGCCGACTAGATATTCTTTAAACAACATTTGTCATCTTCGAGTTGTATTTTTGCTGTTCTTGCTTTTATTTTTCAGGCAGGAACTCGGCAATTTCCTCCTCGCAAAATAGCTTAACTACCGATAAACCCGATAAACATTTTGTAATGTAAATTCTTTCTCTCCTCTGTATAAATAGAGGATATTACACGGTGGCGCAAAGATATGAATTTTATTTTCGAGTGGCAAAACAATATTTTACGAACGAGCGCAGCCCATCAGAGCCCACCAGAAAATAAAATTCATATCTTCAAGCCGTCGTGTAATGTTCTTTTTATTATATAGACAAAAGACATCGATAAAATAATAGAGGGTCTCAATGGTGTGGTGGCATTTACGGTTATCGGCTAAAATTTTGGCTCTTTTACGGCTATCGGCTAATTTTTTTCAGTTACGGTTAACAAAAAAGTTAAAAATTAACTTCTTTTGTTTCAAAAAGTTAAATATTAATTAACCTGTATTTTTTGCAAAATAAAGGTCTTAAGATCATCTCGGGATATGAAATAAGCTATTCTTTTGATCAATTTTAACATTTGATAGATCATACTTTTTATAAAGTATTCCACTTCTAATATTGTTTTACACATAAAAATGTCAATAGTCAATTTAAAAATAACCTTTGTGAAAAAGTAAAGTACACACGCGAACGCCTAACTCAAGGACGGGGCGCGACACTCATTACAACAGAAATGGCAGTTTTCACACTAGAGACGGATTATTTGTGTGAGACGGGTTATCCGTTTGATGATTCGCGTCAGATAGGTAATGCGTCTTAATTTGAAAGTGGAATAGTTTTAATTTTGCATGAACAATCCGCCTGACTTTATCCTTCAACTTCGACGGACAGTTTGAAGAAGGGATTATCCGTTCCAGATAGCCTGTGTACAGCCGCCCCTTCCCCTACGATAAAAAATCGGAGAGGAGGTGTCTGTCGGGAAGGGGGCGACTGTACACAGGCTAGTCTCAGATGGACATTCCGTTTCTAGCTCTAGTGTGAAAACGGGCAATAACAAAATTCCCGTGTCCAGTGTTTTTAATGGTAGCGAAGGACTGTACGGAACCACTGTCAGCCGTTTTGCCTTGTCCGTGGGCCTCATTATTTCGCGCGGCTAATGCGTTTCGGGTCACGTGCTCCGAGCGAGTTCGCCACCGAATGCCTTGACCGAAATTGCGTGGGAAGATGCCGTACAGGGACTAGGCATGGCAATGTCTACCGTAGCGTCAGAGAAAGACAGGGGAATGTTGTTTATCGGCAACTTGTTTTACAAACAGTGAGATCTCTTCGTGTTGTTTCACTAGTGTTTCGAGGGCACGACCTCCTGAAAATCGCAGATATTAATCCCCAGCAAGAAGCCACACTTTCGCTATGGAAAAAAAAAAATTAGTTCCCCGAGAGAGCGGCGGAAATGGAAATGGCTCTTGGTCTTCACCTAAAAGGCGCTTTACCTAACGTGCGTACGGAGCCACACTAGCCGCGAAATAAAAAACGCAACGATAAGTGTGTTTAGTGCCT